TTTCCCTGGGGTGTGTGGAGTCTTAATACCGCAGAATTGTTGTCATGCATTCTTCCCTCCCCAGATCTGATTCCCTTTGGTTGGGAAACTCATTGGCAAACTGTCCACTGCAGCAAGCAGGTGCTTGGTCAGGTCCACACACAGTCTCTGCATAAGAAATCAGAAGACAAGTGTGTTCCTGGCCAAGTCCTGGCAACACCTCTGCCACTCAGTGCCACCTGCCTGCACTGCTAGGACCTTCTCATCCCAGAGTCACCACTTTGGCATCCTCTCCACCTTCCTCTGTCTCTGCAGCAGGAGCATTTGCAGTCAAAGACTTGAACGAGCCCTTGGTTGATGCCACTATCTGCATGTATTTGACCATCACATCCCAGCTGCTGCCCACACCAGCAAAGTCACATTACACCTTCAACCTGAGAGACCTCTCCAAGGTGTTCCAGGGCATGCTCATGGCTGAGCCCAGCAAGATCGAGGTGAGTCCTCCCATCAGCACAGCCATGCTACCCAGGGGAAGACCAGAAATGTTCCAGTTCAAGCCCCATTGACAGGCCTGCAAACAGGCCTCAATTTCTTGTTGAAGCTGTATTTTGGTACTGTTCAATGAATGCGGTGACCTTCCCTTTGGTTATATTGCCTAGTACCAGTAGTAAACAGACACACCTTCCCCCCACCACCACCCCAGCCTTTCCTTGGTGTCAAAGCAAGTGAGTGGTGACAGGGAGTCAGTACAACACAGCCTATCCATTCAGGGCTGGATGGAGCCATAGGGGCAGAGGTGTTGTCCTGTTACCAGCTTGGAGTAATGGAGGCTTCTGTCCCTTCCACTCTCTGGAGGACCTTGCTCTGGCTCCAGCCTAGCCAGTAAAGATTGACTTACCACGGGAAGTACTTGGGATCCTGGTTCTGTGTACACTCAAATAAAAGGATCTTTCATAAAAACAGATGAACTTCTGAAAACAGTAAAAATTAAATCAAACTTGGGGAAAGATAAGGACAAACAACATGATTTTTAAATCTCTCAGAGAAAGCCTGACATATGGACAAATAAAGAGGGGATTAGCTGAAACTGTAATGAGCTCTCTGCAAAGCAGCTGTTTTGACAAGACTTGTTTTTGAGAGGAGAAGGGAATGCAGCTTCCTCCACCCAGTTCTTTCTCCACTCCAGCTGCCTTCTAGCAGGAGTGGACCTGGCCACATGCTGGGCAGGAACTAGCTTTCCTGACAGTGAGGCTCTTGATACTTCTCTACTTCTCTCACGGGGGTATTTTGCTGGGATTTCCTACCAGAACAAACTACACCTGCTGAGACTGTGGTACCATGAGAGCTGCCGGGTCTTCTGTGATCGCCTGGTCAGCAAGGATGACCGGACCTGGTTTGACAACCTGATGAAGAGTATGATGGAGGAGTTAGGCACCACATTTGAGGAGGTTGTCCCCTCCCAGCCAGTTCTGTTTGGGGACTTCATGGAGCCAAGTGCCAATATCAAACTCTACGAAGCAATCGACAGCCAGGAAAAGGTAAAGACCTTGGGAATCATGATGATGTGAGCTATGTTCACATCTTCCAAGTCTTCTGCAAACAAAAGAAAATGGTTAATAGTAACGATGGGGCTGCTTGAATTGAAGGTGTCTGGATAGCTCCCAGGGCTATCCTGTGAAATCCTACCCCAGATACAGACAGTGGCTGCATTTGGTGCAATGGGAAGTTGAGGTGGAACAAGTTGTCTCTGCATTGCCATCCTGGGGGCAGCCTGCTATGCCAAATCTCCCAAATGAGCTGCACTTGGGACTGAAAAGTGAAATTTGCTGGAAAGAAATGGCACATTACCCCCAAACAATACTAATTTTGCCATTAAAGACTTCACAATTGACCTTTACAAGTAATTAATGTTACTGCCAGATTCCCTGTTGAAGAAGATACTGTGGGTACTTTGGTAGTGATAATTAAGCAAAGGCAATGAGCAGTGCATTTTGCACTCATTATCAGAAACAGATGATTATCCTATCATCTCTCCTCTTGTGATAGCTGTGTGACAAGGACTGGTAACTAACTGAGCTTTCCAATCTCTTTCACAAAGTAGGTAGGCCTGTCCCCCACTGAGGTGAGCACAGCTGAGACAGCCAGACTTACCAAGCCGCTGCACAGTCCACTGGTGCACGCAGGACTTTGGCACATAGGCAGGGATTTCAGCACTGTATGAATTCCGGCTGATGTTGCTTGCCCAGGTTCACAGTGAGACTGCTGAGGGGGTAGGACCAAATCCCACATGTCTTCATGGTTCATCTCCTGCTCTGGCCTGAGGGTGACATTGAAGAGAGCCCTGAAAAGGGCAGGAGAGACTTCTCCTGCAGCTATTCTTGTGCGATGGCTGGACCAGTAGAAGAGTGTGCTTCTCTACTCATCTACAGCCAGCAAGGTTTTCTTCCAGCACCTGCCCTTTCCAGCCAGCATCCTGACCACAGGATGCAGCAGCAGGCAGTTGTCAGCTATAGAGTGAGGAAGCTCTCTCGGAGGGAGGCCCTGGAACAGCATGGGTCAGGCAGTCACAAGCTATTTAATTTTGAACTATGGCTTGCTGTTTCTCCATGCAAACAGCACCATTGGGAACAGCAGACCTTGGTCACTTGCCTGAGTTAGTTTAAGGTCAGCATTCAGCAGCAGCTGCTGTTGCCACCACTACTAGCTAAATTCAGCCCAGTCCAATGGTAGTTCCTATAGGAACATGGAGCAAAGAGAGCCATCACCACCCCACAGGCAGCTGCTTCCAGACCCTACTGAGTACCAAGCTCCACCCTCCCAGAGACCTGGCTGTGCTTCCAGACAACCACCCACCCACAGTTGCTTTTATCTAGTAGCCACAACTGACTGTTTCTGCCCACAGCTGAAGGTTGTGATTGAGGATTACCTGGAGGAGTACAATCAAATCAACACCCCAGAGCTGAAGCTTGTGCTTTTTATGGATGCGATACAGCACATCTGCCGAATCAGCCGAATCCTGCGGCAGGCTCCAGGGAATGCTCTTCTCCTGGGTGTTGGGGGAAGTGGGAGACAGTCTCTCACCAGACTGGCATCTCACATGTAAGTAATGCGTGCCTATGCACATAATGTGGAGCAGCTCCGTTGGGGCTGCCTCCAGAAAAATCTCTTTTCTTACCCTTCATGCTACTGGTTACACATTTTTCTGGTTGCTGACTCTTCAGATTTAACACTCAAGAGCTAGGGCTCAGTTAACATGCACATCTACACTAGAAAAATCCTTCCTGGGAGCTGGGCAGCAGGAAGACAAAGACAGGAATTACTAGTGACAAGTGATCAAGTGACATTGGCAGCCTGGCAAGTAGGACTTCTGAGTCTTGGGAGCCAAGGGGCCTCAAGAGGGAAACATGAAGAGCCAGGGATCTAGGCTGGGAAGCAAATTCTTCCAGCTCTGAATACAGGGTGTGATCCTAGAGAAATGCAATCACAGTTCCTAGGTGCACCAGCCTCTGAGGGCAGCATCACGAAAAAGTCCCTGTTTAGCTGCTCCCGCTGCACTCTGAGGCACTGGGCCCAAGAAGCAGTGTGACTCTGTTAGCTCATGGAGTTGTGCTTCTTCTGGTTTCTAGCTAGCTCAGATATCTCTGCTATGTGTAAAACATGCTCTTGGGTTGGTGGCTGAATATGCACAAGGACAGGCGTGTGCTCAGGACTCATTGCAGGAAAACAACTTGCTTGAGTCCTCTCCCCCTGAGTCCACGACACATACTCAGGATTGACAGAAGAGGAGATTTTAATTGGATGTAACTTCACAGGCTTCTCTTTCCTTTAGGGCAGATTATGAGTGTTTCCAGATTGAACTGTCCAAAAATTATGGCATGACCGAATGGCGAGATGACGTGAGGAAGATCATGATGAAGGCAGGCCTTCAAAGTCTACCCAAGACATTCCTGTTTGTAGACACACAGGTACAGGAATATTAGCATGGTGGACTCCATCCCAAAAGGAGTCAGAAATACATCTCTAAGCTCAATAAATCCCCCTAAAGAGGATTGAGGAGGTTGATACAAATCAGGCACAACTTGTATTTCTTAAGTAGCCCATCTTCATCATCTTACAAAAAAGCCCCAGGGATACTAAAGGTGGTGCATTTGTTGCTAGAGGGACTGTAGAGCTGTGTGTGAGTGGGCTGACTTCTCTGTTGCTCAAGGAAGCTTCTTTCAGCTCCATCCAAGGGTTTGGTGGGATCAAAGATTTTAGACCCAGCTGCCTGAAGCTAAGCACTACACTGACCACTGATACTAGATGTCCTAAGCAACGGCATTTTCTTTCTTTTCAAAGATACCAGGTTTAGGGCCTTATGCCTGTTGGTTCCACAGGATAATGTTGGTTTGTTATTGTAAACTGTAGCTTACTAATGACTAGGGCAACTTCTGGAATTCAGTTATGTTCCCATTAGGCTCTTTTACTGCCTTCATCATCATAGGAACCAAGTCCATTCTGGCAGTGCCCTAAGCAGTGAGATGAGCATCTGTCAAATGCTACTTGTTCCTGCATCCTTTTCCCTGCAGTGAGAAGCATATGTGGGAGAAGGGGGGCATGGGAGAGTGCATTTAGTCAAGTAGATAGATGCTGTGCATTTCTGATTTAGTAAAGGTGGAGAGGTGAGTGTGGCTTTGGAGGGAGATCGTCCCACAGACTGTGACGCATCCCTACAATTACGCTGTCTCCCACATTGATGAGCATTATCCTAATAGTGAAGTGTTCTGTGCTGGAGGAACAAAGACCCAGAGCAACCTGGTGTCTGGGGTCTGGTTGCAGAGTTACTGCAAGACAGGGAGCAAGGCCTTGAGCACAATTTGTCTGTAAGGAGACAGTGAATGGGCAGAAGGAGGCTTGTTCTCAGTCACACACACACACACACACACACCACCCCCCCCCACCCCGAAATGGCTGAACATGGCTGTTCAATTGGAAATGCTGGACAAGGGTCAGAGTATGTTTTACTGGAGCCAAGAGATCATAGAAATGATTTCTTATAACAGAGGCTGAGGGCTATATTTATCCAAAGTGATCTACTTGGCATGTGGAGACATGACTATCTTATGACTTAAGAAACTGCTTTTTTTTTTCCTCCCCTATCATCTACTTAGATTAAAAATGAATCCTTCCTTGAGGATATCAACAACCTGCTCAACTCAGGTGACATTCCTGACATTTACAACCTCGATGATCAAGAACAGATCATGACAGCTATGAAGCCCATTGTTCGAGATCTAGGGCAGCAGCCCACCAAGGCCAATTTGATGGCTGCATACGCAGGACGGGTTCGCAGCAATATCCACATGGTCCTGTGCATGAGGTACAGTTCGGGGGTAGGACTTCATGGTGTCAATGTTAATTATTCCCTCCTTGTCCTTTGCCTTGCATCACTTTGTCATGGGACCTTTGTTTCTAAGCCCCTGAATTTGGAGGCATAATGTTTGCATACCACCTTCTCATAGGACTGGATATGGATACCTTTTTTTTTTTTTTTACACTTTGCTAGTTTCAAGATGAAGTTTGAAAAGTTTAAGAATATGATTATATGTGATCTAGATTAAGTACAGGCTTCCTCCTCCTTCATGCACCATTGAGCTGTTTGTTACAAAAATATCTTGCTTGAATTTGGGACTCACTTGTACCATGTTTACTCATGAATCTAGTGCATAGTCCGTGAGCAGCTTGCTTGCTTGCAGGAGGGCTGCCAGAAGGTACAGGGCATTCTCAGTGCAAGTACAAGTGGAAAAACTGGGGCCATGATTTTGGTCTGGTGATGCAATCTCTGCACTAACCTGCTTGAAATAGACTTCAGATCACATTTATTTCTTACCCCTTAAGTGTTCTCCCTAGAGAGGGACCCAGAAAACATCACCCCAATACCATCTTAATACTTCCAGAATATACCCAGGACTTCCAAGGAGTGAGCTCTGGCATGCCTGAACTTCCATTCCCTATTTCTCTCTCCCTCCTTTTTATTCCTTGGGTATATTCCCTTCGTTCTTACTCTGTAAGAGTTCAGGATAGTTCTAGGGAAGTAGGAAAGATATTTTTTCCTTATATCTATAGCTAGTTGTAACATCTCTTTTCTGCATGTCTTGCCCTCAGTCCTATTGGAGAAGTCTTCCGTGCACGCTTGAGACAGTTCCCCTCTCTTGTGAACTGCTGTACCATCAACTGGTTTAATGAGTGGCCTGCTGAAGCCCTGCAGTGTGTTGCCTCCTCCTTCTTGCATGAGATTCCGCATCTTGGTGCCAGTACTGAAGATGTTGATGGGATGGTAGGTGCCACACTCAACACACAGCTCCTCTATGCTCAGTGTGCCATGTTTCTAGGTACACATAGACAATGGATGCAGGACACACCAGCAGAAGGGTCCTATGCTGGACCCTTTCTGTAGCAGAAATGTTTCATGGCAGGGTCATTCAAATACAGAACTGGTTAGCTTTTGTATGCCTTGAAATGGGCATGTCCATTTGTCACCCTCTCTATGGTATTGAAGCCCACACACATATATAAGCTCTGCTGTGACTGTATACGTAGGCTCTTTGTAAGTCCCTTGTGCTCTCTGTGGGCCTCATGTAGACTTGCCTACCACACGTTCAGTACTGAATAAGATGTTTCTTTCCTTTCTCCTTGTAGATTCAAGTATGCGTAGAAATCCATCAGAGCGTGGCAAAGAAGTGCCAAGTGTACCTGGCAGAGCTGGCCAGACACAATTATGTCACTCCCAAGAGCTACCTCGAGTTCCTCAGCATCTTCAGTTCCCTGATTGGAAAGAAGAAACAGGAACTGAAGACAGCCAAGAACAGGATGAAAAGTGGCCTGGACAAGGTTTGTCCCTCACATCCAGGAGAGCTTTGGGCCCTCCTTACCTGCTCTGAGCAGTGTATTTATAGCTGCAGAGATGCAGCAAGATGCCCTACACATCTCCTGTGTAACAGGAGAAAACTCATGCTAAAGCAAAGGAGAATTACGCTTTCTGCCAGGGCCAGTCTTTCTGAAGGTCTGAGTCTGTAACAGCTCTAAAAGAGTGATGGTCCCCATTCTTCGGGGACCACAGACCTCTCTGTAGGTCATCATCTCTCAGAATGTTTCTTATTAACCTTTTAATTGAAAGCCCTGTAACAGCAACATTGTTCTGCTGCCTGATTGCCATGAGCTTATGAAGTAAGGCCCATCATGTGCAGGCACCATTAGGCACTACTGTTTATAAGCACACCACAGTGCCAGACTGTTGCTTAAGCAGGGACTAGGGCAAGACCTGCTTTATACAGCCTGACACTGGGCAGGGAGCACCTACCAGGACAGCACAGCCCTTTCCTGGGGCTTCCCATGGCTGCTGTCTGTGCTCTCACTCTGCTCTGCTCCCACAGCTCCTGCAAACAGCAGAGGATGTAGCAAGGATGCAGGAGGAGCTGGAGTCTGCCCGCCCTCTCCTGGCACAGGCAGCCAAGGACACACTGGCAACCATGGAGCAACTGCAGGTACCACTGCTGGACAGCCCTGCACTTTCCAAGTCTGGCTGCTCAGACTGGACACAGGACTTGGGGAGGCTTTGTGGGGATTGTACAAAATCCTGCTTGATCTGACAGTAAAAAGGCCCCAGATTAGCACAGCACGTATTTATGTAGAGCAGCACTACCAGCAAGAATAGCCTTCTGCAGGGGTCCCTGCTCTGGGGTTGGTGGGAGCCAGTCCAGGCCATTGCTAGCAGAAGCAATGGCTCACATGCCCCTGTCTGAAACCACAACCCAGGGTTCAGTCAGCCAAGCTACCCGGCTCCCTTTCCTCACTGGTTTAGGTCCTTGCCAGCACAGACTAGCAACACTACTAACACAATCCTAAGGTGGCCTGAGCAGCACTAAGCTCAGACTGTTGTTTCTGAAAGGGATTGTTCCCCCACATCCCATCCCCAGGGAGCTGATCCAGCTGCAGCCCTACCTCTGCTAGCCCAAACCTCAGGGATCATCACACACAGTCACACATGCCACTGCATAACAGAGAACTGCCCTGCATTGGCCAGCACTACCTTCCCTCCTCCTTGTGTTCCTCCCTGCCAGCCTCCTACCATGGGATGGTCAGACTGAGAAGGAGGGAACAGACACTAACATCATACAGCTCTGCATGCAAAGGGGAAAGATTCTGCAATCTCTTATCTTCCCACATAGCTTTGGGAAGGTGGCCTGATCCACTCCCAGAAAAAGATTTGGCTGTATTCTACATTCCCTTTACACATCCTGCTAGTGTTTTAACCCTGGGGGTAGACAGAAATGACAGTTTTAGAAACAAAACCCTCAGCATATCTTCTTATTCCTCCATGTCCCTATACATTTGTATCCCTGTGCATCCCCTCCCTATGCTAACAGGAAAAATTGGTAGAGCAGCTAATTCCTGCAGGACTAACACCATTCCAGGCACAGCCAGAACTGGAGCTCGTGGATGATCTCTACAAGCTGACAAAACCTTCCTCCCAGTATGATGCAGGAAGGGGATCCCTCCAGCAGCTAGACCCCAGCATGTCTCTGCTAGAAGAAAATGCATGAGCTGCCAGAATAGCTGTGATCCTTACCTAGCAGAGCTGAGCCAAGCCAAAGGGGTGCTCTGGCTCCAGCATGGTTCTGAGGCTGTTTCTGGTGTTGCAGGTGGACACAGCTGTAGCCGAAAAGACAAGAAGTGCTGTGCAGGCTGAGGAGACGAAGGCCAAGTTGAAAGCTCAGACAGCCCAAGCCATTGCAGATGATGCTCAGAAGGACTTGGCTGAAGCCCTCCCAGCCCTGGATGCTGCTCTTGCCAGCCTGAGGAACCTCAACAAAAGTGATGTTACGGAGGTAACTGGGTTGAGTGGGAGGGTGGCAGGGAGCTGGATCTGGTCCTGGACAGCCACTCTTTTTGCAGCAATTCTCCTTCTATAGGCTTACAGCATCCCCTGCCTTTTCCAGCATCTCTATCCATCCCCCTGGGCTCACACTCTGGGCAGCTGCCCATACAGCTTCTCAGCTTCACTCCTTCAGAAGCAAAGAGGGGCAGAGAGGCAGCAGCTGGCTCCTGGATGTTGCTACATGTTGTTTCCTACTCGTGCCAGAGAGGGTGTTGAGGAGGGCTCACCCCATGGTGCCTGTCCATGGGGGTAGGCAGCACCACAATACAGCCTTGAGTACTGCAGAGCACAGGGACAGATCAAGCAGCACACTGTCTGAACCAGCAGGCTCTTGAAAGGGGATCCACCACAGGCAGAGAAGAGGAAGAGGCAATGGTTGGTGGGCTGACTTCAAGGAATACTGGCTTGAAATAGGATAGTCAGAGAAAGGAGGGTGATTCTGAGCCTGGCAAGTGTCATAGCCAATAGCCAAGAGAGCAAACTCAGCAAGTATCAGGCTTGTATCAGGAATAGTGTGGCCAGCAGGAGCAGGGAAGTGATTGTCCCCCTGTACTCAGCACTGGTGAGGTCACACCTCGAATACTGTGTCCAGTTTTTGCCCCTCAGTACAAGGACACTGAGTTGCTGGAGCACATCTAGAAAAGGGCAACAAAGCTGGTGAAGGGTCTGGAGAACAAGTCTTGTGAGGAGTGGCTGAGGGAACTGAGAATGTTTAGTCTGGAGAAAAGGAGGCTGAGGGTAGACCTTATTGCTCTCTACAACTACCTGAAAGGAGGTTGTAGTGAGGTGGGTGTTGGTCTCTTCTCCCATGTAACTAGCAATAGGACAAGAGGAAATGGCCTCCAGTTGCATCAGGGGAGGTTTAGATTGGAAATTAGGAAAAATTTCTTTACTGAAAGAGTGGTCAAGCATTGGAACAGGTGGTGGAGTCACCATCCCTGGAGGTGTTCAAAAAACATGTAGACATGGCACTTTGGGACATGGTTTAGTGGGCCTGGTGATGTTGGGTTGATGGTTGGACTGATGATCTTAGAGGTCCTTTCCAACCTTAATGATTCCTAGTTTTTACTTTCATTTAAAAAATAATCCAGCTACCAAGCCAGGAAACATGAAATTAATTATTACTCTACCCTTAATGGTTTAGTGGTGGACTTGGTAGTGTTAGGTTAATGGTTGGACTCGATGATCTTAAAGGTCTTTTCCAACCTAAACGATTCTATGAAGTACAAGATTTCACTGCACAGGGTGTAACAGCTGTGGAGGGGAGGGACAGGCTTATTGCTCCGCAATTGTGAATAACAGACCTTTTTATTCCTCACAAAACATACAAAACTCCTTTCCCCAGAAGGGGGGGAAAGACAGTGTCAGTCCACTTGCCTCCAGCACCCATCCACTTGTAGAGTTGGCATGAAAAGCTTCCTGTCTATACAAGGCTTCCAATGCCAACTCACAAGGTGCATCAATTTCTTACACATCATCTGACTCATCCACCAGCTTCAGGAAACTATTTAAGAAATAAGCTCCCTGCTTCTTTTAAGCCCAGCTGCTGGGCCATGACCCAAGTAACCTGTCACTGAAGCCAAGACCACCAGAGTTCTCTCCCAGTCCAGGATTAATGGCCCAGTCCAACCAAAGTGGACACCACTTCTATGGCAGGGAGGAGGCATCCCTTTGACCTACTCCTTTGCATAGGGCAGCTCCATCAGTGGTCCCTTAGAGGAAGCTGACACCTGCTTCTCCAGCTCCTCCACCACCTCTCTCAGCCGATCCTCATCACAGTAAAAATACACATAAAGGTTGCGCTCTGTCTGCAGGATAGGGCTCTCCAGAGATCTGCGCTTGACATTCAAGTCACTCAGGAGGTCTGTCAGCGTTTGGTAGAGGTTGTCCTGCATGGTGATCAGTTGCTGCATCAGCTCGGTAATCTTCTGAGGGGCAGAGCACAAATACACGTAAACATGCAGAAAGAGGGGGATTTACTCACACCTATGGAACAGCTCAGCCCACCAGAAACAAACTAACCACCTGGCTCTGGCCTCCAAACACCGTCCAAGGAACAGAAGTATCTTACTGGACCACCTTGGCTAAGGCACCCCAATCTCTGTACTTAACAGCACATGTGAAACAGAATCACCTTTGTCCCTCAGCCAGCCACTGCCTCACTGGATAGCTTTTGGGACAAGGCAAGGATGAGGCCAACCTCCTCTCCCTCTGTGGGCTGAGAGGCAGTAAACTCTCCCCCCTGCACTCAGGGAGGATGGCACAGAGGGCTCTGATTCACAGCCCTGTGCCACCCAGCAAAGACCCAGTGGAGCAGGAGTACTTGCTTACCGGAGAGGAGAGCTGCAGCTGGTTGGAGCTGTTGTACAGCAGCCGGTAGCGCACCTCTGTGGAGGACTCCAGGGCAGGGAGCTGGGACATAGGAGCTGCCATCTGTGTTTCCAGCACCCTCTGGTCCTGAACCAACTGGGAGCACTGGGCTGCTATGGCCTTATAGCTGCAGAAGAGCTGCCTCTCCCGATCTTCCCCCACCAGCATGTCCCAGAGTCTGCAAGAGGGGACAGCCAACCAGAGGTGTGAGCAGTGTGCCAGCACTGATGAAGAATAGGGCTCAGGGGACATTGTGCAGCTGTGGGACTGGGATGCAAGCAGCTGTGGGGCAACAACAAGAGGACAGCCACTCCTGGTGAGCAGCCCATGTCCTGGAGGTCTGAGAAGAGCACCATAAAGGACCAGGCTGGCTCAAGAGCCATTCAGGGACTCCTTGCTGGCAGACACCAGCACCAGCTGCTCCAGAGCTGTGCAGGGAAGACTGAGAAGCCCCTGTCAGTGCAGGACACCCAACCAGAGAAAGCTCTTGCTCCAAGCAGTTCGTGCTTCCTTCTGGCCCAGCTCTCTTTCTCCATGACTGAAGACTTGCCCCTACACTCTCCACCCTCACATCCTAGGAAAACCTCTGTTCTCATTCCCTTCTCCAAGCCCATGCTTTGCTGCATCAGCACTAGCCAGCCAGGAAGAAGCAGATACCATCTTCTGGGGAATTTCACACCACCACGGAGTCAGGGTGGCTCTGCACTGGCAGAAGAGCACTGCTAGACTGCCTGGTAGCTTGGGTCTGCTGCATGCCTCTCCCATTCCCTTGCCACCCCCTCCACATCTAGGTTGTTCCTCATGCACACACACACCCCGAGGCTCTTACCGTACAGCAGAGAGGTCTTTGGGGTCTATCCATGTGCATGGACAACCCTCCTGGGAGGAGCTGGCATCTTTGAAGTAGTCATGCTGCTCCTGCAGCCTGGTCTGGGCTTCCCTCATGGCAGTTTCCATCTCCCGCAGCCAAGCAGCCTTCTGGTCCATTTCCTTTTTCTCCCGTTTCAGCTGGAGCTCTAGCAGATCCAGGCGGCTGTGCTGGTTTGCCAGCCATGCAGCCACCTCCTCCTGCCTCCTGGCAATGTACTGCAGATGGGCAGCTTCCAGGCTGAGCTGCCTCTGCAGGATGGGCAGGCAAGAGCAGCAGGCCTCTGCCTTCAGGAGGGGTGGCAGCTGGTGGGTCAGGGTCTGCGTGATGTCGCAACGCAGGGTGTGAAGCTGCTTCTGAAGCATGGCAGCCTGACTCCAGAGTTCTGCCTTGACTACATGCTGTGCAGGTAGAAGACAAGACAAGCTGGTGTCAGGGTGCACCACTAGCACTGCCTGGCTCTGCCACGCCCTGCTGACATGTCAGCTGCGCTCCAAAATTCAACAGAAGGGACTGCCCACAGCACAGGCAGCCCCTGCCACAAAGGATGGTGGAGGAAAGGGAGCACTGCCCCTACCTGATTCTCCTCGAGAGCTTCCAAAGTCCTCTGGGCCCACTCCAGTGCAGCACAGTTGCCTTCCACTTTTGCTGACATGACTATAACCTCCCTTTGGGCACAGATACGTGCTTTCTCTATTTGGTTCAGCTCTTTCCAGTAGCTGTCTTGGTCCTCCAGTAGCTCATCTCCATCAGTCCCAACACTTTTTGGCATTGTTTGCTTGGCGTCTGTTCTTTCTGTGGCTTCCTGGCTGCCATCTCTCTCCTCCTCATTCCCCATACTCAACACCTCTCTCCCATTCCTCCCCTCCACTAGAAGCTCTGCCCTCGAGCCTTGGACCAGTATTCCCTGACTTGCTGGTGCCACCCCCCATGGTGTCTTTGAACACTCTGGATAAGGAGCTCCGCTTCTTCCTTCTGGTATTTCCCAGTCTGAGTCCATCTGTGTCCCAGCCTCCAACCTTTCCTTCAGGCTACTCTCTCTCTGTGCACTTGCTCCCTGAACATCTGGAGCCTGGACACGCCCTGGTAGGGTCTGCTGGATGAACCTCTCAAACACATTGGTGGCCTGTTGTTCTAGCTCCACGTAAGGGCCGAGATCCATCTCACACAGCAGTGCCAGCGGCCGGCCTTTCCCCATGTTCCCATGCCACTCTGCCAGCTGCTTTGCAGCCTCACTGATCTGGCTCAGGACAGCACTGGTTTGTAAGATCTCCGCTTCCAGGTCCATCTGAGCCTTCCTCAAGTCCTGCTTCACTGCCTTCTCCTTCTCCTCCAAATACCTCAGCTCCCACTGCAGGTTGGCTGCCCAAACCTGCAGCTTGTTGTGCCGCCAGAGCTGACGGTCATGATAGTCCTTCAGCTCCTGAAGCTCCTGCTGCAGGGCCTCCAGAGAGGGACCCTCATCTTCCGGTATAATGCTTGGGAGCTGTGGGATCTGGCGGCACATCTGCAATGCCTGCTCGAGGGCATCGCCTTCCAGGATGGGTTTGCCTGCAGCCAGCAGGGCATCGGTAGGCCTCTACCTCAGCTGGGCTCAGCACATTCTCCTCACTCACCATGCTGCAGAACCACTCAAGGAACTGCTTTGTCTGAGGGCAGTCAAAGAGTCAGTCAAAGTCCTTCTCACAGAGGGTGTCTGCATGGGAGTAGACCAGCCTCAGCGTTGCCACAAACCCTGCCCCTCTGTTGACTGTGTCCAGTGGGAAGACCTGGGAGTATCTTCGGCTGAACATGGCAAGGATGGTCAGCACTAGAAGGGAAAAACCAGGAGTCATCCTTAAGGGTCCTGACACCCACAGCCATCTCAAGGGCGCCACAACAGCACTCCTAGCTGCCTGCTTGAGGAGAGACTCAAGCAGTCCCTCCGCAAGTGCTGCAGACCAGCTCATGGGGTGCAGCATGCTATGGTGGGGTACAAGACAAACAAGAGCCCACAGAGCAAGGGACAAAGCCTGCCCATGCCCCATTTCCTTATAGCCTCCTCCCCAGGGCCATACAGATCTAGCTCCTTTGCTACGACATCTTCAGTCTGTAAGATATACCTATCAGAGCATGAGGGCAGGCTTTTTCAGCCTACCTATAGTTTGCTCCATGCCCTTTCTGGTAACCAGCTTTCCCTTCAAATACCTCTCTCCTTACTGCCTGTGCACTGCATCCTCTAAATGTCCTGCCTCTGGTCCCAGTCTCCTCTAGGCCAGCTGAGGGATGAGCACCCTATCTCACTGAGAACCAGGCTAACCCACTGTCTCCATTTGGGTTTTGAAGGTACGAGCAATGCAGCGGCCTCCCCTCGGTGTGAAGATGGTGATTGAAGCAGTCTGCATTATGAAAGGAATCAAGCCGAAAAGGGTGGCAGGAGAAAAGCTAGGCTCCAAGGTGGATGACTACTGGGAGCCAGGCAGGGGCCTTCTCCAGGACCCAGGGAAGTTCCTGGACAGCCTGTTTAAGTATGATAAGGTAAGTGCTGGCAGAGGGAGGCTGTGACCAGGGGTCAGGTATTGCCTCACAGAGATCCTTCTCACAGCAGTGAAGCTTAAAGCTCCTTGTGGGCTCCACCCTTCAGCACCACAGAGGATGAGGACATATTTGGCCTGGAAGTCTTTGTGTCAGCTGGCTGCACTTCATTGCCTTGGGCAATGGGACCCAGACACACAGGTGTTCCCCTTCTGTCCCTCTACTCTTCCCATGTGAAGGAGCTGGATGGAAGTGGTATGGGAAGGGATTTACCCAATCCCACAGCTGTGCCTCCCAGGCCTCAACACACAGTAATTTGATTCCTCTTGCTCCAGTGCAATGCCTTAACCACCCTGCCAGGTCCTGGGGCAGGCTGCCGCCACTGAGGGAAGCCCTTTGAGACCCTCCTCAGTCAGATCTCTAGCACCCTCATCACCAATCTCCTTTCTCTCCCACCATTCCTTGCAGGACAATATTGCAGACAATGTGATCAGGGCCATCCAGCCCTACATTGACAGTGAGGAGTTTCAGCCAGCTGCTATTGCCAAGGTCTCCAAAGCTTGCACCTCCATCTGCCAGTGGGTGCGTGCCATGCACAAGTACCATTTTGTGGCCAAGGTTGTGGAGCCCAAGCGGGTAAGAGGCAATGTGACCCAGTTGCTCTAGGTGTTAGGGAACACATTACTAGCAGCCCCCTTCTGCAGGAGATGTCGAGAGTCACCATGGTGAGGTCAGGACGTAATGTTCAGACCAAGCCTTAGCAGAGCCAAAGCTTCAAAACCCATTAACATAATAAAGTAGAAGAAATCAGCCTACAATATGCTGGGGCAGAAGTGATACTTTGTTCTTAGTGCTGAGTTCCTGGTTCAGCAGAAACTGTACTTGCAGAAGCATTCCCATATCTCACTAGTGTTTCAGTCTTAATCCTCTCCAGGCCTAGCTATTTCTTTATTATTTTGGGGGAAGCAGAGGAACCTTTCCTCCTGTTCGCCAGTGGGCCACATCCTGAGCTTGCGTAAGCTGGCACAGGCTCTTGGCTTTTTAGAGCTATGCAGAAATGCCCTCCTCACCCCTAGTTTTATTCCTGGGCTTGCAGAACATCCCCCTGGAGTTAGACAGGTCAACCTTTGTCATACAGGGAAGGATCTCAGTATCAGCTAGTGCTTTTATGCAAAGCCAACTCTTGCTCCAAGGTCTCTGGCTTTTTGGGGAAGAGCCTAGCCACATGCCCAACATATCCACTGTTTCCTTGTGCATCTCCCCAGAAAGCATTGCGGGAGGCCGAAGAGGACCTGCGTGCCACTCAGCAGGTCCTTGAGGAAGCTAAGGAACGCCTGAGGGAGGTTGAAGGTGGCATTGCCATGCTGCAAGCCAAGTACAAGATCTGCATAGCCAAGAAGGAGGAGTTGGAGATGAAGTGTGAGCAGTGTCAGCAGAGACTGGGCCGTGCTGATATGGTAAGGGACAGAGCTGGGTTCTGCCTGCTTACATGAGACAACCTGATTTCAGGTCAAGGAGCACAGCAGTGAAAAAAATCTATGTGCCTGCAACTCACAACAATCCTAGGTTGAAGCTGCCTGGCCAGATCTCAGCAGCACAACAGGACTGGGGAAGCTAAGCTAACCAGGCACTGTTGTGAACAGCTGCTGTCCTCCTGTGCACAGCTTCTTCAGCCAGCAACGGGTCTCTAGGACAGCTGAGAGCAGCCCAGTAATCCCAGGATTAAGGACTCAAAGCTGGGGACAGAATTCAGGGTATGGCAGGGGCCACCCTGCAGCCTCTGGTCACAAAGTCACCTGCAGCATTACCCAAAGAACAGCAGATCCAGGACACAAGGTTAGACCACACAGCAGCTCTCATGTGTGCAACTTAATCCCACAGCTCATAAACAGCCTGGCTGATGAGAAGGTGCGCTGGCAGGACACTGTAGAGAAACTGGATTGCAAGATCAACAACATCACTGGGGACATGCTGGTTGCAGCTGGCTTTGTGGCCTATCTGGGCCCTTTTACAGTAAGTGTGCAATGCGCCCTGTGATGGGTTTGGTTAGCTGCTCGGCTCTCCTGGCTTCTTGACGGCCAGATCACTGGGAGATCTTGCTGGCCAGATCACTGGGAGAAAGGAATAGGGAAAAATGGTGCAAGATCCCTCCTGGATCTCTCTCTGTTTGTGCCAGAGGCTGCACAGGGTCCCATTTGAATGGAAACAAGAGGGTTTAAATGTTCACAGCAGACTAGCTGCAACTAAAAGAAAGGCTATGATGGTGCTTCTTGTGGCAGGGACACTACCGTGTAGCACTGTGCAAGGAGTGGCTGAGGCAGCTGTCAGAAAACAACATTCCTCACACCACGGAGCCAAACCTGATCAGCACCCTTGGAGACCCAGTGGAAATCAGCTCCTGGCAGGCAAGTTGCAGAAAAACCCAACACTTCAGGCTGAAGGTGCCTCAGGCAAAGGCTAGAACACTCAGCTCACCACTCACTAGGATCACCTGCACCAAAGGACAGACCCCAAGCCAAACAGCTCAATAACAACCAAGCACACCCACACTGCAGAGCTGGAATTGCTGCCGGGGTTCCTTGCGCCATGAGCAGGAGAGGACCTGGCAGCATCCAGGGCAGCAGCCTCAACTCATAATACTTCCCCTTCACAAACCACAGGCTTAGAGCAAAGCCCTGCCCATAGCCTAACTCTGCCAGCACAGCTCTGTCCTGTGGCTCAGCGCTTCAGGCAGAGCTGCAGCTCTGGGCTCAGCTTCTGTTAGAGGTACCCTCACCACCATCCACCACACTGGGAACACACAGGGGCCAGGGCAGGAAGGTCTTCTCTCTGGTCAGCTGTGTTGTGCTACCAGGTATTCCCAACAGCTTTTTCTACCCCATTAGATTGCTGGTTTACCCAACGATACCCTGTCTGTGGAGAATGGGGTAATAACACAATTCTCCCAGCGCTGGACTCACTACATAGATCCCCAAGGACAAGCAAACAAGTGGATCAAGAATCTGGTAAGAGCTGTGGGGAGGAAAGCCAAGTCTGCCAGGATAGGGGAAGCAGCTTTCTGTTACAAGCTGGACAGAGCGGCTTTGGGCTCCAGAGCTGCAAGACCCCACACTGTCCTGTCCTGTCCCAGCCTCCCCAGCACCAGACAGGCTCCATATTCATCACAGGTAGATGTCCCAGCTTGGGGAAATCAGCACAGGGCAGGAGGGGCCCTGCTGTAAGCAAACGAGGCATCAGATTCCCACTCTGGCTCTCCACTAGCATTCTGGGGGCCTTACATCCTTCACCACACCCAAAACCATGCAGAACAACACTAGCATCTCCTATAACAGCCTCTAGGGTCCCTGGGACAAAAGGGATCAGGGTAGCATTACCTGGCTAGTGAGCACAGCCCTCACTGCCAGGGGACTAGGAACACAATCCATCACCTCTTCTCTTCCCCCAGAGAGGCACCCACTGCCCTTTTGAAGGCTCAGGGGGGAGGCTCAGACAGCTGCTCCTGTTTTGCTCCCCGAGGGCTTTTCCCACGCACCTGCTCTCACTTTGCAGGCAAATGAGCTCTGAGTTACCAGTGTGGGGCTCTGCAGGGGTATGGCTCTTTGAAGGAGGTTCTCCCTGTTCCTCGCCTTTCCTGCTGCCTCATTGAACTGTCTCTAGTGCCTAGTGACATGGACTAAACTTGCCAAAATAGCCAAAAACTAGCCGAGCAAGAAAAGATATTATTTCTGCTGCTCCGGCAAGCTAAGTCAGCCTAGTGAGAGGTGTACCATGCACCAGAGCTGGATGTGAAGGTGGGCAGGACACCGCAGGGACCCTACCCTCCCTTGCTCCCTTTCAGGAGAAGGTGAACGGTCTGGAGGTGGCCAGACTGGGCGACCGGGACTTCCTCTGCAGTCTGGAAAATGCTATTACCTTCGGGAAGCCCTTCCTGCTGGAGAATGTCGGCGAGGAGTTGGATCCAGCCCTTGAGCCTGTACTGCTGAAACAGGTCCTATGTCTCGCCTTGGCAAGGAGGGGCAGTGGCTGGGCTGTAAGGGGGCATCTGGCCAGGATGCAGTGGGATGTGGTGGGTTTGTAGGTCTCTCTGGGCAGGCAGCATTCACATGGATGCTGCCTGTTCTGTGCTCGCATGTCTTGGCTAGGGCTCCAACATGTTGGCAGCCTCCTGCACAACCCAGTCTCCTGCCAGCAGGCATCTTTGCCTGGGAGGCAGGGCCATGGAATACAGTTGCTCTATTCAGGTTCAGGCCTTCAGGTCTGCCCGGTGGCTTTGAGCTCCTCTGCCCAGAGAGCCTTCAGACTCTCTCCCACTGCAGAGCCCAGGGCACAGCAGTATGCCTTCCCTCACAAGAGGTAGCTGTCCTAGCCTTCCTGTATTTGTCCCTCTCCGGTGCAGACCTACAAACAGCAAGGCAACACTGTGCTGAAGCTGGGGGATACAGTGATCCCCTACCATGAGGGTTTCAAGATGTACATCACTACCAACATGCCCAACCCTCACTACAGCCCTGAGGTCGCCACGAAGCTTACCCTCATCAACTTCACCCTCTCACCCAGGTACCTGCTTACCCCATTAGTTGCCCATGCTGCTCAGCCTCATTCCTCACAGTCCTCAAACCCTCGGTCCTGTTGCCCCCACCCTCACTTCCATGGCTTTTGTTGTAGTGGCTTGGAAGACCAGCTGCTGGGACAAGTGGTGGCTGCAGAGCGGCCTGACTTAGAAGAAGCTAGAAACCAGCTAATTATTAGCAATGCCAAGATGCATCAAGAGCTGAAGGAGATAGAAGACCAGATCCTGTATCGGCTCAGCACTTCTGAAGGAAACCCTGTAGATGACTTGGAGCTCATCAAAGTGCTGGAGGCATCCAAGCTCAAGGCAGGAGAGATCCAGGTCAGAGGTGGAGGTGCTCTCCCCCTGCAGCTGTGCATCCCCTGCCAGCACTGCACTAACCATGATGTCTCTTCTGTCCTCCAGGCCAAGGTAATGGTGGCAGAGCAGACAGAGAAGGACATCAACATCACCCGTGTCCAGTATGTGCCTGTGGCCGTCCGCTCACAGATCCTCTACTTCTGTGTCTCAGACCTGTCCAATGTGGACCCCATGTACCAGTACTCACTTGAGTGGTTCCTCAACATCTTCCTAATGGGGATCAGTAACTCCAAGAGAGCAGGTGCCTGCCCAGAACAGCACCCTCCTATCCTTTTCCTCACCCCACATTCCTGGTCTAGTGGCAGCAGAAGTTAGGACACCTGCAGAGTCAGGGCAAACGTGGCTGCTTGCACTGGCTCTCAGCATGATCCAGAGCTGTCCCTAGTTGTGTCCAGACAGCAAGGGAAGATGTGGTCGCAGCCTGCCCTCCATTCTCTTCCCCACTACTTCTCTGCTGCCCTGTCTGACCAGGCGCCATCCTGGAAATGGCGTGGCTCTGCTTGACACACAGCCACCTCCACGCACAGGTCCTGGCTGCTGCTGCCAGGCTGGGGGGGCATCTTTCCCCACCCAGCAGTGCATGTTAGCCAGGGTGGGGGTGGCTGGGCCCACCTAGGCTGCCATGGTGCAGTGTGGACTCCCTCCCAGTGCTGGGACAGTGTTTTCTTCTATGTGCTGAGTCTCACAGCCTTGTGCTTTCACCGGGCTCTCTGTGCCAAGTCTAGATTTGAAAGCAGCAGCTGTTCTTCCTGGGCAGGGTGCGGGTGTGCCCCTGTGACCAGGAACTGACAGCTGACATGGAGAGCACCCTCCACGTCACCTGTAGCACCCGCCACCCTTGTCTGGTTGTTGCCTTTTTTTCAGACACCCTGAAGGACCGGATTGTGAACATCAACAACTACATCACCTTCAGTCTCTACAGTAATGTGTGCCGTAGCCTCTTTGAGAAGCACAAGCTCATGTTTGCCTTCCTGGTTTGTGTCCGGATTCTGATGAATGATGGGCAGATTGATATGGTGAGCAAGTCGCCTTAGTCCTTTGATGGGATCCAATCAGGGCAACTCAAGCCCAGCCTGTCCAGCCCCCTAGAATAGCATGCCAAGGTGGAAAAGGAGCCCTGTTCAATGTGTGCCGTAGCCTCTTTGAGAAGCACAAGCTCATGTTTGCCTTCCTGGTTTGTGTCCGGATTCTGATGAATGATGGGCAGATTGATATGGTGAGCAAGTCGCCTTAGTCCTTTGATGGGATCCAATCAGGGCACCTCAAGCCCAGCCTGTCCAGCCCCCTAGAATAGCATGCCAAGGTGGAAAAGGAGCCCTGTTCCCGGGGGCTGGGGACAGGCTTGGCAAGCTGGTGGCCAAACCTGGGGCCTCTCTCTTCACTCAGATCTCAGATCTTTCCCTGTGTCTATATGCAGAGCTGCCTTGCCTGAATCACCTGCAGCTTTTGCCAGTTTGCTGCCAGACTGCTGCAAAAGTTAGCAAGTTCAGAGGGCGCAGGCAGGGATTAGAAGACAGAGAAAAGCTAGTGGCAGCTGAACAGTGATGTTGATCTCACCAGACCCTCCAGTTCACTTACTCCTCGACACACACACCTGGCAGCCAGAAAGTTACTACAGGATTTTAGTTGAATATGGCACAAACCCATGTGCCTCAAACCGAGGCAGGTAGGCTATAATCCATGACTGTGTCCTATCCTGTTCCCAGGAGGAATGGCGGTACCTGCTGTCAGGAGGGACCATAAAGGAGATGAGGGAGAACCCAGCTCCGACCTGGCTGTATGAGAGAGCATGGGGAGACATCCTGGCCTTGAGCGACCTGAAGAACTTCTCTGGCTTCGCCAATGATTTTGCAGCCAACCTGGTAGCATTCAGGGCCATTTTTGACAGCCCCAAGCCTCACAGGCAAGTGCCCTCTGCTTTGTCATCTTAGCTGTACTGCACTGTCATGGTTTAGCCCCAGTCAGCGACTAAGCACCACGCAGCCGCTAGCTCACTCCCCCTGCCCCGGTGGGATGGGGGAGAGAATCGGAGGAGTAAGAGTGAGAAACACTCCTGGGTTGAGATAAGAACAGTTTAATAATTGAAATAAAGTAAAATACTAATGCTAATAGTAACAGTATAATAATGATAATAATAATAATGATATACGAAGCAAGTGATGCACAATGCAATTGCTCACCACCCGCCGACCGATACCCAGACAGTTCCCGAGCAGCGATCGCTGCTCCGTGGCCAACCCCCCCCAGTTTACATACTGAGCATGACGGCATATGGTATGGAATAGCCCTTTGGGCAGTTTGGATCAACTATTCTGGCTGTGCCCCCTCCCAGTTTCTTGTGCACCTGGCAGAGCATGGGAAGCTGAAAAGTCCTTGACTAGCATAAGCAGTACTTAGCAACAACTAAAACATCGGTGTGTTATCAACATTCTTCTCCTACTAAATCCAAAACACAGCACTGTGCCTGCTACTAGGAAGAAAATTAACTCTATTCCAGCCGAAACCAGGACATGCACCCAGCATGTACTGGCGTCCCTGGGAGAGCACGAGGAGCCAATACAGCCACAGTGCCGGCTCTGCTCCCAGTGCAGTGCCACACAAGGGAGAGAGTGAGGCATTACCTTGTCTCCTGAAGGGTGGCCCTTGCCTGTGCATGTTGCTTGCCCAAGGCAGAGCTATATGATGCCTTAGCCCAGCAGTGTTTCGTGCTTCCTCAGTGGAA